CGGGAGCTGCAGCATCTCGGCTGCCCCTCGGCTCCTCGTGAGCAGCTCCTTGCCCATGCCCCTGGGCTGGATGGGGATGTGAGCAGGGGCAAGTGGGCTGCTCTGTCTCCTCCCAGAGCCCTGTGCCACACTGTCTCTCCGCACCCCAGGGCACAGCCGTGCCGCCTGCCCGTGGGTTTTCCCACCTTGCACCCCAGCCCTGGTGCTCCTTCCGCCTTCAGCTGCCAGTGCCACAGGGCTGGGACAGCCCTGGCTGCTGGCCCCAGGGCAGGTAGGATGGAGGCCAAGTGACACAGGGTCTTGGTCCTCTCAGCCCCCCAGGTCCGCATCACCCCGGTCCCCAAGGCACAGCAGCTCCAGGAGGTGCTGGCAGGGCTGCCCGTGGTGCTGAAGTGCCAGGTGTCCCCTCCGGATGCCCCCGTCCGCTGGCTGAAGGATGGCGAGGCTGTGGTCCCAACCGAGGTCCTGGCCATTTGCTCAGAGGGATGCTCGCGGAAGCTACACATCCCTGCAGCCGTGCTGTCTGACTCTGGGATGTACACCTGCAATGCTGGGGACGATGCCACCAGCTTCAGGGTGACCGTGAGCGGTGAGATGCCCTGGGGGTGCCCGTCCTCCTGTGGGGCTCACCTGCCACCATGGCTGAGCCCCCACCATGTGCTCCCCGGCAGAGGCACCAGTGAGGATTGTCAGCTCCAACGAGGAGGCCCCCCACGCCTACACGGCCGGGCAGCGCGTGGAGCTGTGGTGCCAGCTGTCCCGTCCGGCGGCCCTGGTGCGCTGGTACAAGGATGGGGAGGAGGTGGAGGAGGGCGAGAGCCTGGTGCTGGAGCAGGAGGGGCCGCGGCGCCGGCTGGTGCTGCCCTGTGCCCGGCCGCAGGACACGGGGGAGTTCATCTGTGATGTCGGGGACGTGTCTGTCTCCTACCACATCTCAGTGGCAGGTTGGTGGCACAGCAGGGATGTCCTGGGAAGGGCAGCGCTGCCCCGGCTCTGTGCTGTGGGGTCTGCAGTGCTGCTGCCTGCCCTCAGCATCGCAGAGGGGG